TTTGATCAACTCCAAGATGGGAACTGGGACATATCTGCTAGACAAAGAGCATCTTCCCTTGAAGCCAGATTTTGAGGACAATGAGGTTTTCATGGATGCATCACATCCTACATGTGTTGAAGCCCAGGAGAAGATTGAGACAACAAAGGCTGTAAAAGCAGCAAAGGCAGTAGGTGCCCCAGATACTTCAGTTGTGAATAATGACCAAGCAAGATCAACTCAGTTATCTGCTTGAGGCTACCGTGAGAATTGAGAAGAGCTTGACACCTTGTCTCAAAATCAAGAAAGTCTTGAGAGGATTATTGAGACAAAGATACATGACCTAGATGTGAAGGTCACTGAGATTCATATAGTTGTGTAGAAGCTTAGGGATGATGTTGAGGATCGTGATGATAGACCCACGACAGACACATTTTAGAGAGTGCCAAGGGCACAAAGATCATCAGTTGTGCCAGTTGCCAGAGACTCCAGGACTACTACTTCAGCACCTGGAACCACTGCCACAGTTGCCCCTCCAGTGTCAACTCCTCCAGCTCCACAACTTCCTTAGAGGCATTTGTAGATGGACTCCTCTCCACGCCGTATACGCACACCAGAGCTCCCGGAGATCATACTTAGAGTGTCGTATAGCACTATACGTTTTCAAACTTTTTAGTAACTTGTTGCCAAAGGGGGAGAAAGTGTATAGATCATAGGCTTCGAGAGAGAGTGTCTTTTGTCTTTTGCCTTTTGTTGGTTTTCATTTTCCTTGCTACTCTTGCTACTTTGGTTTGTTTGGTTGTTGCTACTCTTGCTACAATTTGTGTTATGCTCATTAGATACTTATGTGATCATGTGTTTGATCATATTATGCTTAATGTGTGCTTACATTCTTAAATCTATGAATGTTTGTGTATGATTAATCACTTGTATCCTTGGTGATGAGTGCATGTTATTTAACTCTTATCATTTTGAGCACTCCACCAAGATGTATGTGACATGGAAGAGTGGCCCATGATCCTAATTGATTGTGCATTTGCATTCAAATGCAAATTTTAAATAATGCAAAAATTTAGGGGGAGCTCTTGCTTATCACATACTTCTCAAAGCGATGATGTATTTCATTCATATTATCATTTGTCGAAGCTTTGACCTATATGTTGTCATCAATTACCAAAAATGGGGAGATTCAAAGTGCAACTAATCCCCGAGTGGTTTTGGTAATTCATAACAACATATAGCTCACTGAACTAATATCCATTCAAGTTTAATATTTTAGAAAGTTCAATGAATGGCATGGCATGGACTAGGAATGTGGACCCCTCAAAATTCTAAGGACACATATTGGCAAAAGCTTAAGACTCTTCATTTCTATTTTAGTGATCCAAGATCACATTGAGTCCATAGGAAAGCCAATACTATTAAAAGGGGATGAGGTGTTGTTTAATGGTCTATTTGCTCAAAATGCTAAGTGATATTGCTCCAAAGCCCTCAACCACTTTCCCATTCCAAATATGTCCAAAACCCAAAGTCAAACTCGGCCCCATCGAAACATTCTATCCGGAGCCACCGAGTTCATTTGACATAGCCACTGCCAGAAACCCTAACACCTCGGTCACACTGATATGGATCTCGGTCTCACCAAGATGGCCCTGCAAACTCTCTATTTTCCCTTTGTAACATTTCGATCTCACTGAGTTTGCTTGACCAACTCTCTGTTTCCTCTTTGCTGAAATCGGTCTCACCGAGTTCAAGCAATCGGCTTCACCGAGATGAGGTTTTGCCCTACCCTAGCACATCGGTCCCACCGAATTGTTCTAGTCGGTCCCACTGAGATTCCAAACATTCACATTTTGAACTGAATCGGTCTCACCGAGTTCTTCTATTCAGTCTGACCGAGTTGGGTCTAATGTGTGTAACAGTTGGATTTTGTGTGGAGGCTATATATACCCTTCCACCCCCTTCTCCATATGTGAGAGAGCCATCAGAACGTGCCTATGCTTCCAGCTTACATTTTCTGAGAGAGAACCACCTACTCATGTGTTGAGATCAAGATATTCCAATCCAACCACAAGAATCTTGATTTCTAGCCTTCCCCAAGTTGCTTTCCACTCAAATCATCTTTCCACCATATCTAAATATGTGAGAGAGAGTTGAGTGTTGGGGAGACTATCATTTGAAGCACAAGAGCAAGAAGTTCGTCATCAACACACCATCTATTACCTTTTGGAGAGTGGTATCTCCTAGATTGGTTAGGTGTCACTTGGGAGCGTCTGACAAGATTGTGGAGTTCAAGCAAGAAGTTTGTAAGGGCAAGGAGGTCGCCTACTTCGTGAGGATCTACCCGAGTGAGGTAAGTCCTTCATGGGCGATGGCCATGGTGGGATAGGCAAGGTTGCTTCTTCGTGGCCCTTTCATGGGTGGAGCCCTCCGTGGACTCGCGCAGCCATTACCCTTCGTGGGTTGAAGTCTCCATCAAAGTGAATGTACGATAGCACCACCTATCGGAACCACGCCAAAAATCTCCGTGTCATCATTGCGTTTGCACTCTCCAAACGTTCCCTTTACCTTCATATGCAATGTTTTATTTTCCGCTGCTACACTCTTAGAATTGCATGTGTAGATTGATTGCTTGACTTGTGTTAATTGCTAAAATCTACCCACAACTAAAATTGGGAAAATATTAGATTTTTATTTGGTCAAGTAGTCTAATCACGCCCCTCTAGACCTACTTTCGATCCTACATCAGGTGAAACCCTCCCTCGATGGCAGATCTACGCTACCGCAAGTTACCATTCAAACTCAGTTACAGTAGTTATCTACAATGTCTTTGGCAATAGTTGGGAGAGGGAATGGAAGTTTAGGGATGGGAGTTTATTGAGAGATTAGTCATGGAAAATTGATTTTAATTCCCATTCCCTTGTTTGACATGGGAAGGCAATTAGAGCTGAGAATTTAATAAAGAGTTGATTGCCCCCATTTGGTTGGTGGGATTAGGCACGAGGGTACAAAGATTGCGCATGTACCTTCTCTTGCGCACGTACGTAACTAACAGATCGTTCTTTCAATTCCCAGTTTGCTCTTCAATTGTTAGTGGGCCCCTAGGAAAGAGATCTGAGGGAGTTGGGCCTCTTAATTCCCCTTCCTCTTCCCTCTTTAATTCCCATATCCCTAAGCCAATCAAAGGATAATAAGTCCCACAGAGCTTAAACTTTCACTAGAAGGGTTGGACGCGGTTTGCTGCTCCATTGGCGTTGTTTAGTTTCTTAAAAAAATCACTTTGTTTCAAATATAAGGTGTATTAACTTTTCAAATGTCAAACATTTTGCGTTTGATCAAATATTTAGAGAAATACCCCCTCCGTTTCAGAATATAAGGTGTATTGGTTGCTGTGCAAGTCAACCACTTGAAAGCTTGACCAAGATTATAGAACAAAATAGAAAGATTTGCACTACCTAATAGATAAAATATGAAACTACCTTTCATGATTGATCAAATTATATAAATGTCATATTATGGATATTGATATATTTTTCTAAAACCTTGGTCAAACATGCACTTGTTTGACTTTTGAAAAAACAAATACACCTTATATAAAGAAACGGAGGGAGTATATCATAATCCATAATATCATACCGATATGATTAGATTCATCATCAAATGATTTTTTGTACTTTTTTTGTTTAATATTGTGGATGTCGATATTTTTTACCTGAACTTGGTCAAAATTAAAGAAATTCAACTTTTTGAAAAACTAACAACCCTTATAGTTTGAAACTGATGGAATATTTAGTTCGACGGGTGGGGGAGATGATGGAGTGTTCTTTATTTTTATTTACAATGCGATGATTTGGTGGGCCTTTCATGGTTGATTCTATGTAACCAACTTCTATTTATGTGGGAAAATTTCTGCATAGGTGGTTGCATGTATTATATTGTTGTTACAGTATCACATGATTTTTTTTCTTGATGGTGGGAGGGTGCGCGGGATTGATATGGTTTTATAGACCGGTTCCTGCTGATTGATTTGAAAAATCATTGGCGCGATCAAAATCATAAACCAAGTCTGAAATTAAATACCTAAATTGAATGAACGAAGCTTCAAAACTAGGGAGCATAGTGATTTAAAAGAATTAGATGGGAGAGCTTGAGAAATTGTTGACCCGTTCAAAATTGGGTGACCCAATCTTAAATTGAATGAGAAAGCTTTGAAAAATTGTTGGCTCGGTCAAAATTGGATGACTCAATTGAATGTGTCTCTTTAAAACTAGAGAGCATAGTGTTATGGAGGATTTCCAACCTAAGTCTCCCAACCAAACACGAAGAAAAAGCTGGGCCTCTTAATTCTCTTCCTTTTCCCTTGTAATTCCCATATCCTGAGCCAATCAAAAGATAACAAGTCCCATATAGTTTTGTTTGTTTCAGCTTCGTGAATATGAAACAAACAATTATTTCGAATCAGCTTTACCAATGAAGCCAGCTTTGCAAGTGAAATTGAATATGAAATCTGAAACAAACAGCTATTTCAAATAGCTTTTCCAATAAAGCTAAATCTGGAATTGGGTCATTTTTAGTGCAATTTGTTGAAACACTTCAAAGTGTATTTTGGTGGCGAAACTGATTCGCATCATTCAGCGAATCATCTTTACCACTAAAGCGAATCTACATGTGATTCAAATGCAATTAAAGCTGAAACAAACATGATCTTATATACACCCGGGTTGTGGTTGAGCTCTCATGTTTTTTTCCCATTTCTGCCTGATGGCAATAACACATACTTGAAACCCTAGCTAAATAGCCCTCTTTGATTCGGCGGATTCCATACCAATCGTCATATACTTTGTTCATATATACTTGCATCATAATAGATCGATAGCTGCGTCCTGACACCGCAGCAGCGACCGCTCGCCCGATTTAGCTCGTTTCCTTTCCAGATCCCCGTTTCCCCGTTGTGCTTGACATCGCCACGCTTCTCGCCTTACTGCCTGCCCCCTCCTGTTTCACGCCCCGACGAATCGGCCATGATCCAGCTGCTGTTCACGCTGCTGGCCGCCGAGGCAGCGCTGGTGCTCGTGCTGCTCTTCCGCACGCCCGCTCGACGCCTCGCGCTGCTCGCCGTGGACTGCAGCAAGCGCGGCCGCGGGCCCCTAATGGCCAGGACTGTCGCGGCCACCATGTTCGTCGTGCTCGGCTCCAGCGGGTACAGCATCGCCAAGATCCGGCGCCGCGAAGGCGAGTTCGCCCAGCTCACGCCCACAGACCAGGTGCTCGCCAGCCGCCACCTCCTCGAGGCCTCGCTCATGGGTATGCCCTTTGTTCTCCTCGTTTTCTCATTGGAACCATCAGTTTGGAATCCCTCAGGGATTGGTAAATTAGGCGACGAAATAGTTCATCAATGGATTATGGATGGTTTTAGTTGCCTTACAGATGTATGGTCACTGTTCTCCAAGAACGTTACATGATCTCTTTTAGGCAGTGAAGAAATTTATTTGCAGATGGAATCTTCTAAGAGAGTTGCACACGCCAATTTAGGATTCTAATAACAGATACACATATATGCGTTGAAGCGAGGGATGTGACAATAAAAAAAATATGTGAAAAATGAATTGCCCAGAAAATGACAATTGAAGATTATTAGAATTTTTATTTGGCATAATTTGGTGTTAGAGATATTGATAACATGTTATGAGTTATATACTTGTGTTACCAAATTCTGTCGCAATAAATTGTTGTTCCCATTGAACCATGTTGGAATTTATTGAAACAGTTCTTCAAATGATGCATGTTCCTTTTTCCATGGAGCACAAGACATGGCCAAACAGTTGGTCACATGCTTGTAAATGCCTGCGATATACCCAAAGGATCCTTTTTATTAGGTAGATTTGAATATCTTGGGCTTGACTGGATGATTTGAATGTTACATGACATGTCGATGAACTTTGATCAAAACGTATTATATATGTTCAGAATTTGAATGTTTATGCGTCATTCTAGTTTCTATTATAAGATTTTTCCTATCAAGGTTTAGGATAGAATCAAAATCCTTCTAGTTGAATGTCTGGTAATATACGAAGTGGCTTCTCCTATTAATATATTTATGATCAGTGACCATTTTCTTGGAAGTTACTTTTTCTGGTTAGCAAGCTTGTTCATCACAGCATTGTTCCTAGAAATTTCATGTTGCAAAGTCAAAGTAATCGACAACCATTGATTCATCATGATTCTACTCGTGTGAACTAGAGAGAAACACATTCCCCCTTAACTTAAGGTTCATTTTGCAACCCTCAACCTCAGTTTGGTTCCAGTTTCACTCCAACCTTAAAACCTGTTCATAATACAACCTGAAATGGATTGACTTGTTTTAACTCCGGTTTTGTAAACCACATCATTGTTTCTTTTCTCCTATTAGCCACGTAGGATCTCCCCTGAAAATCTCTCGTGCCCATTCTTCATACATCGGAGAGAACACTTCCGCCGCTGCCGACGGGGTTTTCTGCTGCTTTGGCTTTGAGGAATTGGACTTGGATGGTTCCTGCTCATGGCCATGCGTCTCATACTGCAGCTCTACTGGAGCAGGTACGTGCCAATGGCACGGGTAAATCGCCTTTCAGCCGTACTTGATGTCCTCTGTCCTGGACTACGATATCATCTATCTGGGGCTGCGTCATTGTCAATGGCGTCGGTGCAGCATCCGCATCAGCAGTCTGAATATACCACACATACCTACGACGTCGGCACTGTCCGCTTAGCTCAACTTCCCCGGCGCCGGCGTTGCACAACTGTCCCGCTGTGCCATCGGTCAGCTCCATGGACAGCACGTGGCGTCCGAAGGTGCTACATCGCCATTGACATGGCAGTAGCAGTGACGCATGGTGGGTGTCCGTCCATGGGTCCCGCCGGCCACTGGCTGCACCGCAGGCGCTGCTAGGTAGGACTTCCGGGACGTCCACCACCACCAGTGCACAGGCTGCAGAGTGGCGACGTGGACCTGCACGCCGTTTCAGCCAGCAGGTTGTTGCCGGGGCAGTCGTCTTTGTCGATGCGACGCACAACTCGGGGTCAACGCCACTGCCGGAGGATCGTCGACATGGCTAGAGAAGTGCAGGCCCTGGCTGCTAACTAACTAAAACTAGTATTACATACTGATCAGTGTGTACGCACGCCATACGTGCGGCAGTGGGCTAAGTTCTCCTAAGTGGTGGTGCTCTCTCCGCTAGACGAATCAAGCGAAGTTGAAAAGGGAACGGGTGGAGATTTTCTTGGAAGATCTTATGAGATGGCTGATACAACCGGAGTTAATACATCTCGATCCATCTAGGGGTTGTTTTATGAGTTTTC